CTGGATGCTGCTGACAGCTGCGTTAAGTGAACGATGTTCTACTCTGTTGATCTTTCCTTTCAGAATTTGATTCCAGAATAATTGATAAAGTTAAAGAAGATCAATTCAACGCAAACTAAAGTTTATATAAACATTATTGCTCGTGTAAAGACTGAAAAGTGATAACTATAACAATATCTGAGAAGAATACGTTGCAAAATTATGTTAAGACGCTGTTTTACCCGTGTCAAACTGTAACTATGGGGAAATAACAACATATATGACTAAGGAACAATTAAATCGGACTAAAATGCAGGCCCCTTATGATTTATATGACGATCTGATCGTCAGTTACTCTGTTGCGCTTTTAAACCGACGAACTAAACAAAATGATTTATTTGACCAATCATTTAAAAGATGGTATCAGAGAAATGTAAGATACTTGTTACCTGAATAAAGTAGCGATAAATGTGATATAATTTGTCTTAAAAGTAGCAAAAAGTCTACAATGTTGTATTTGACTTCCATATAAAATACTAGTTTTTTATAACTGTACTTATTGCCAAAAAGCAACAGATGAAAAAGATGGTTCAGGTAATTGGCCAATGAGAATCTGTTTGGATACTATAGAAGTACACCAAGATTAAAAAAAAACTTTTAAGAAATACAAATTAAAGCATAATGGGCCTTTAAAACGTAATTTTATAATCTCGACTGTGGGGGTGGGGGGCGACACCCCACTATTCCCTCTAGTTCCCCAGTGAGAATTTTACATTATGATATAGTTCCGCTGTTAAAGTGTAACTAATTAAATTGTAGATGATATTTTTTAGTACTGCGTGTACTGACTAGTGCTTAAAGTCGCATCTGCACCTAGTCAAGTTTCTTACATGTCATATTTAGATACTAGTAAGCTAAAGAAATGGCCCGTTCAAAATATTATCAGGCACCGTTTTTACTGACATGTCTTATTAAGATTGCAAGAATTTATACCTTTGTTTATACAAAGATTATCATGTTTCTATAAAATGTGTAAATAAAAATTGCGGGAAAATGAAGGAGTAAGCTAAATACAATGGAGTTAATGAAAGGTATACATTCTTTTAAAATATGTGGAAAATGTAAAAAAAAAATATATTTTAAGCTTATTAATTGAAACAAAGTCTTAATTTGATGAAAGTTATTCTCTAACTAATCAAGATAATTTCAAATCCCCTATTGATTCTACTATAATTCAGGGCACATATGTTGCGTCTATTCAATTCCTTGATTTTTGTTTACCATCGGCTTTGACTACAATATAATACTTTAAAAATCAATAACAATTATTTTTATTGATTGAATTTTTATCGCCCCAAAGTGCAGTCGTTTATTTGTCTGATGTTAATAAATGAATATATACCTGTGTAACGCACTTTTGGGTCAGAAATGGACCCAAAGTGCGTTCGACCCAAAAATGCGGTGTTACAAAATGCGAAGGAAAATGAATAATGACACATTAAGTTAATATGATATACTTGCTCATAGAAATATATCAAAATGTTAAAATCACACTGGTGATAATAATCAGGAACTACATGTAGTAAGAGTGTATGAATGCATCATACGTTCTGAAGATTTCTTCTTTAAAAAACGTCTGTACTCGCTTAACATTTGTATCAATTCCATTTACAAAAAAAGTAAAAGAATCTGTGTTTTAAACATTATTATATTTCAATTTTACTTTTGAGCATTTTCACATGTAATGTTAAGCGAGTACAGGAGTGTTTTAAAGAAGATTTCTGCAGAAATGGCAAAAATCACGCTATGCATCAGCTATGTTAGGTATAAAATTTCATGTAGAACTTAAGAAAATGGTGACAATTAATTATGAAGAAAAAATGAATAAAATGCGGAAAGTATTATCCAATTGGAAACGAAGAAATTTAACTCCTATTGGAAGAATCGTAATAGTTAAATCTTTATTGTTATAAATATTCACACATTTATTTACAACACTGTTAAATCCAAGTCCTTATATAATTAAAGACTTAACTGAAACTTTCAAAGATTTTGTCTGGCTTGGTCAATGTAAATTTAAGCAAGAGGTCTTGAGACACTTGAGAAATGATAGACGTTGAAGCGTAAAGATATCTTGGATAAGAAGAATTTTAGTCAGTAATGATAAATGGATAGGTTTGGCATGCTCAATTTTTGATATAGAGAAATTAATTAATTGTGGTATTGGGTATATAGAAAAAAAGGTTAGTGAGATAAATAACAATTTTCTATAACCCTTTAATAACTATTGTCAATCAACCAGTGTTCTTTAAAAACTGGTTTAATGCAGGTGTACATGTCATAGGTGATCTTTTGAAACCAAATGGACAATTTTGTAGTTTAAATGAATTTAATGACAAATATAACATAAAGTCTAACTTTATACATTATCTAGGTATTGTTAATAGTGTATCCAGTTTCCTTTCAACTTATGATAGAACATGCAATGTCCTACAGAAACCCTTTATACCACCTTTATTAAAAGTTATTTTAAAATTTACTACGGGTACAAATCCTATGTATGAGATATTTATTAAAACCAAGATAATACCTACTTGTATATCAAAATGGTGTGAATAGCTCAATGTAACATCAAGTGAAGAAGAATGGAGTTACATATTTTCTTTACCTTTTAAAATATCAAATGATTCAGGCCTTCAATGGCTTCAGTACAGAATTAATTATAGAATAATAGCAATTAATTCATTACTTTTTAAAATGAAAATCAAAGATAACAAATTCTGTAGTTTTTGTAAAAATGATATAGGAACATTAGAACACATGTTTTGGTTTTGTCCGACCATAAACAATTTAATATTTTCTGTTTTTGAAAAGTATGGCATTTTGAGATCTTTGCTCAACTGTTGTAACTTTATTCTTGCTTTGAAAGATAGTAATTCAACTGCAATAAATATGATTTTTCTTTTTCTGAAAAGATATATTTACAACTGTAGAGTAAAAGAACAAGTACCAAATACTACAAGAGCACATCAATATATTAAGTACTAATTGATAATTTTGAGAGAAAAAGCAATTTACCAAAATGATTTAGATACCTTCAATAAGACCTGGAATCTTTTTTGTCAAAAGATAGAGCTATAGTTAACCTTTCATATGTTTGTAAAGCTGAAAACGATAACCAGAAGTATAAATGATCAAAAATATATTACTTGCAAAACCTGTTTTCTTTTTCTTTTTCTTTCTTCTTTTTTTCATTTAAAAAATAAATATATAATGAAGTTCCTTGTTAACTGAATAATATATAACATATGATTATATGTAACATTGGTAAATATGATAGTAATTGTATATTGGTCAAAACACCTGCAATACATTATTTGTTTGTTACTGTTATATTATTTCATATGTTTTTATATACACAAATGTACGGTATAGGCTAGGATGTCCTCGACCTGCATATACCTATTGACGAGGAAAATAAATTAACATGGAACAAAAAAAAATTATTTCCCTTATTTTATAAAATCCTAATAGAAGCGATGGCAAATAGATTTCCTTTTGAAAATTAATTGTACTTTTAATTTCTATGGATTTGTGCCGATTAAACATCCCTTAAGTATTTCTCCAATGCTTTGACTTATGAATTATTTAAATTAACTAAATTTTCCTACTCTAAAACACTTTCAATGACTTTTCATCTTCTATCACGGAATGATTTATTTTGCTATGAAATATAATCACAACCAAATAATGGTATAATGGTATAATGACCAAGAGGTTTAATTAGCCACCTAAAATTGTAATGTAAAACCAACAATAATTACCATGAATCTTATATATCCTAACTATCTTTCTGCTAAACCAAGAAAACAACAACACTATTGAACATTTGCGAGAAAAGCTGAAACATTTTATTGTGCTATATTATACAAAAGCATGTTTATGGACACTAAACACTATTTCAAAACAAGTGTCGCAAATTTTTTCCGCCTTTGAAAATTCATGAAATTGCACCATATTTCGCGAAGATATATTCAATAATCACTCAAACGAATAAATATCGCAGAACATATACATGGTAAATGTCTTGGATTTTATTTGACTCTTTTTTAACTAACTTTTAAAAACAATGTCATTTTTACACTCAAATTTCCTTTTTCAATTAATGACCTTTTCAAACCTATGCTTAAATGTTACAAATTAATTCACTCATTGTTGTGTTTAACATAAGTGCTGATGACAATAAACATTATAACAGATTCTGAGTTTAGACATTATTATTTCCATTGCCATTATTTTGAATTAACAAATGTAAGTTACTAAGTTAAATTAAAAAAATGCGTACATGTAATGTAATAAATCTACATTATAATACATGTAGGACGTATAATTCAATTAAATTGAAGATAAATTTATCAGCCTTGTATGAATTTCGAAAATGCGAAACAATATTTAGATTTAAAGATTCACAGTGATTCACAGGAAGTATCGAGAACAATTCTTGATGAGCCATCTTGCTCGAAGTCCAAACATTGCAAAATATCTCGTTCGGCAATTAGTTGCGAGCATAGAACTTTATCATGTATATCAATTTCAAGCTTAATTGGCAATTCAGACAGGTATTATTTAAACAGTTTGCTATGTGAAAGTTGGGTATAAATGATTTATTTGTTGATAAGAATTCCACTGAAGGAGTTCATCATCCAATTATTTGTATGTAAAGTATAACTGGATGAGCCTGACAAACATTTTACCCATATCTTTTCTGACGATTTTACTCTGATAACTGCAGAAAAAAAACTGCAAGTTGAGCTGCTTTCATCGTAATTGTGCGACCGAGCAATCACGTTTCCGATACACCCCAAAGCAAAAAGGAATTTTCCTTGATGTATGTCATAATAACAAAAAATGGGACATCCCCGACAGGGGCTGTGAAAATTCAGTGGGAAATTTCATTCCGATCCCATTGGGCGTTGCTTGGGAAAAATGATGATTTTTCTTCTTGTCAAGCTTTTGATTACCAATTGTGGCAAAGAATGCAACGGAAGGCTTTTTCATGTTTTCTGTAAATTTAGAAAGACGGAGAAAAGATTTTAGAAGACGTTTAGTGTATTTGACAGAAATAGTTTATCATTCTGCCACAAACGGTGCGATTTGCATTTACTTGCTTTAAAAAGGAATACAATCAGAGACAAAATACTTAAAATAAATGTCAAATCAAAATATCTTAAAAAGGCGAATGTTTTGGTTTGTATATCAACTACCGAAAAGAAACTCATATTATCCAAAAGTAAAAGAAGAAATGAGCACAGCTTAATTCTAATTCATATCTTGATATTATCTATACGTTTTAATACATTATTATTTATTTGAATATACAATGATAATGTAAGTTTATGTCGGATTCATATAAACAATTAAGCAATGAATAGGAAAATACTCGATTAATGTGCTGATATTATTTGATCTTACCTGCAAGTTCTTTTAACATCCTCCTTCCTTCCTCCATATCACTTGTGAAATTATTCCGTTGTTCTTCAAATGTTTTTTTCAAAATTTCTGTGAAGAAAAAAGAATCTTGATCAACATACCTATCTTAATTCTTAACGTTGTATACTTCACATTAAACCAGATTTTTGACATTTTTGACCAAATCTATGGACATCTCGGATCAGGTTCAGGAATACATTGGCATCATATGGACATTTGTGATGTGAATTGGATTTCTCGTATCTTATTATCAATATTGTTTACCGCACAAAATCATATTCAGATTACCCAGTTTAATTATGGAGACAGTTTTTCATTGATAACAATTTTAAGAACTAAGTTATATGCACATATTACAGTATATGATGCTTTTATATTGATAAAATATTAGGATATTACAGATTATGTTTGTGACGAATTTATAATTTATTCATTTTCAATTCACTTCAGTGAAATGCATTATGTTTGAACTTTATGTGTTTTAGCTATTTTTTAATATTAGCTCTGTCTTTGCAAAATAATTATAAAGTATCCCTTTGGATTTCTGAAATATTTCTGTCGTGCAATCTAGCGACATATATCCTAGCAAACGCCTTAAAAAATTATTTTTATTGTGTTCATATGGTAAATAGTGGAAATCAAAAAAAAAAAAAAAAAAAAAATGAAACGTTTAACATTCACCATCAACTAATTTCAATAATTAATTTAAACGAGTTAACAACTTGCGAAATTATGATATCTAAATATCAATACGTATCCCTGACAGTCTGCAAAACATATTTTAAAAATGAACGTTTTCTAAGAATAGTGAATCAAATGCTATAATCTATATCAATGAATAATATTGTAGTTATTCGCTACATATATTATGGTTGTAGTTCTAGAAATGGAAACACTAAATGTATAGAATCGGTACTTTGTCCATTGATAACCTTATTCTAAACTTTGAGCTATCTGTATATATATACTGAAAATTAAGAATCGTACATGTATAATAAACTGAAAATCCTGTACTGCGTCTTCAAAATTGTAATAATTAACTTGAAACAATCTAATGCTAAACTGTGATTTAGGAAATAAATATTAACAAATTAAGGCCGTTCGATCCTGTAAATTAATTTTAGAATATCATTGTTCACTTGAAAGAACTTGTCTTAGTATCGTAATATTCATTGACAATGTATTAGAAGAATTGTTTTATAATAACTCAATAGCAAGGGATGATGTTATAAGGCCAAAATAAATTCCCTACAAGCTTGTAGAAGAATAATTTAATAATTTAAACAAATATATAAAATTAGAAAAAAAAACATTACCTTCATTCTTTTCTTTCTCTCGGGTGATTCTTTCCATCGCCGATTCAAGTGTTTGAGACACCTTTGCACTAGTCTTCTTTATTTCCTCCTCCAAAATATCCGCAACCGCTTCTTGAGTTTTCTCAATATTATTCTGCATAATTTCTACTTTAATCTCCTGCCTTATCATTTTTTCTAAAAGCTGTTCTTCACAGGAAAATTTTGAACACATTGGTTCATTTGCTAAAGACACAGCGAAATTGTATTTGAAGAAGTAAAGAAGAAAAACGCAAGCTCCATAGAACATCATTTGTTGTACACTTACGGAGGAACGAAATGAAAATGAATTGTAATGATTTTCTTACCAACTCTAGCCGTTTTGAGCTATTTTTCTATTCTACTGAAAACAAATGTGCAGTGGGTTCGTCAAAAAGTCTGCCTATTCTCTTAGAGATGTATGATTTGAATTGTAAAAAATTGTATCAAGATATTGACACCTGTAAATTATTTAATGTTAAACCTATTGTGTGAGAAATATTTTATATGCCTTCATCGGGCAAAAATAAATATATCTTAAATCAATTTAAAAATGTTTCTATACATCATCTTTAAATCATCAGTGATGAAATGTGATCATTATGAACATTATATCAGAAACGTGTAGACTTGCTAAGATTTTACAAAGGATATTTCTAAAATTACAGATTGGATCAGCGGTAACCTGGTTTGCTGGGCAGATTTTAAATCATAATATACTATTTACATGTATTTAAACAAATAATGAATTTATTGTGACCTTAAACACAATGCGCAAGTAAAATTTGGTTATCACGTTTTCAATTGACGTTGTGGTGCTATAAGATTTGCGGATATAAATCATGCATTATTAACATTGTCTTACAATATATTGTGCATTTGGTAGTATCGTGTAACAAAGTATGAAAATAAATAATCATATAGTCTATTTATATGAGCTTGTTAAAAATTAGGCAAATTTCACAACTATAAAATAAATTATGAAATTGAAAATAAACTTAGAACTTTAATATTAAGCATGGTCCTGAATAAAGATAATATCACTTTGATGATATTCTAATAACCGTATAAATTTGTCAGTGACAATAAATGATAATGATATTTCAGAAGCAAGCTATCGTAAAAATTTATGACATTTATAGCATTTAATAGTAAGTTAAAAATGTTTTTTATAGGATTTAAATACTTTGATAGTATATGTCATTGACATTGACAAGATCTTGAAATAAATTATTGCATTGATTGATATTGTTCAGTACAAGTGTATGACGTTACAAGGAAAACAGATTTATTGACTTGATACTGCAAATTAAAATAAGACAACAATTTATTTGTAATTTAGTAAACAACCTTCATAATGACATTATCAGATGTAGTGTGGTTATTTTCAGTCACTGTCGAGTTGGTTTTCTTAATTAATGTAAACTCTTTTCTGTCAGCAAAGATATAATCATGTAATGAGTAAAAACCGAGTTGGTAATAATCTGAAGTGTGAATACATTTATTATGTTATGTTTTCTTCTTGTAAACATAACGTTTTTCTGGCGTCATGATTTCAAGGTCATTCTAGCCTTTTCTCGTGGGAAACATTTTGTAAAATTGTAGATATATGAAGAACATGTGTAGTATTTTAAAGGCAAACAATGTGTTAAATACATACTGCCTAAATAATCTAGAAATTGTATTCGTTAAACTCTGGTGCAATTAAAATAATTAAGGTATAACCATCGTGATAAGCCAATAGTAGTAAAATGCAACTTTGGTCCAGAATAATTCAGCAAACTGAAAAAAGAGCATTACAAAGGTACTCCAATGTTCAGCTGGACATAATTACTTGTGTTAAAATTGATGAATGTAGTAATATCGTTGATTATGTAAAGATGCTTATTTCAGTTCCATGAACAGGCTTAGTCAAACCTACCTTGTAACATTCGTTTTAATTTTGTTGTTTTCGGCGTACTTTAGGAATTCCATTTTGCTTTATTTTAAGCGTGTAACGTAACTAGATTTATTTTCATACACTTTTGACATAAATAATTTTATGAATTCTTGAAAACATTTGCGCTATTTTGGCGTTAGAGTCATAAAATTATGTTTAAATGTCAAACAGTTCGTTCCTCGTGAGAAACATTTTGTACATTCATAAAGGTATGTGTCTCAATTATACGTTATATATTTGCAGGTTAAACAATTATTTTCGCAATGACAAAATGATTCAGACAAAAGGAGATGTGCAAATTTATATGCAATCCTCTTGTCAAGTATGACGTAAAATGTTGCCCCGTATTTCACTTCAGTGTTGTTATACTTTTCTGGTCCTTTATGATCAATAAGTCCAGCACAGACTACAGTCAAACCTAGTCTGCAATTTTCATGTAATTTTTCTGTTATTAATGCTTCCGAGGGATCTTTTTTCCAGATATTGATTACAATAGTGGAATGCAACTTAAGTTCATTTTCCCTTTCACACGCATTTACGTGTTTTATTTATTTAAACGTTTAGTAACCAAAGCAAATATTGTAATTATGCTTACACAGTACATAATATACAATCATTCAATTTATACAATGTTGAAATGGATTAGAACGAAAGATATAAAATCTTTTATAGTTCTTCTCCGACTCTATTTTGAATTAACAACTCTCTGGAGTTTCAGTTTTGACCCGAACCAATTATCAATTGCCCCTACATCTTTCCCTGTATTTCCCGTTCTGCCATTTTTATTTAAAGACTTATTATGCCTCAGAAATGCTTTTATTTTTATTTCTAAAAGCTGTTTAATTTTGGTTTTCTTTAATATTATCCAAAAAGCTACTCATTTGCCAATTACCAAAGCCATCTATTTCATCTGTTGTTTTACAGCTATAGTGAATAAGTATTTTGTATGGAAGTCAAAATACTACTCTATTTATAATTTGCTACTTTTATGACAAATTGTTTCACAATTATCGCTACTTTTTCAGGTTACAAGCATCTGACATTTCTCTTAACCCATTACTGCATGAGCATTTTGTGAAAAATGGCTATTTTCATTTAAAAGTCTCCCGTTACAAGTTCAAGTTGCTATAAAACTATAAAAACTGCTTCAATACTAATCAAACTTAGCACAAATGTTGACTGCACCATTGCCTTTGTAACAACATATTCAGTCTTAAATTTCCTGTTACCATGGCAACGAGGGGACATCTCAAATTGCCAAAAATTACTATTTTGCGTTGAATTTTTCCATCAAAATTGATTTCAAAGTGCTGCAACTTCTCATTGGATTGAGATAGAGTCAAAGGCTTTTCAGTGTTAGTTACACGTTACCTTATGATCGATCGATCTGGGGTCATTTTGAGCCTCTCACAAGTCCAAATTTTCTTGGTGATGAGGGGGCACATCCCCTCGCTTTCAACCCCCTGATGTATCCTTTGGAAAGGGGGTGGCGCCGAAATATTGGTCACATTTTTAAACAACATTTCACAAACAAAACAAGTGATGGGGTCCTAAATAAGGCATTTTTTTTACCATTTGAGACAACAAAAAAGGGGGAGGGGTGAAAAAGGCGTAGAAAAGCGTATATATCTGGTAGTGGGTTAAACCAGCAATTAAACATAACATTCGTGAATATGTGAAAACTCATTTGTTTCTGAGGCATAATATGTCTTTAAACAAATAACTTCGTAACTAGTCTCATTTGATTTTCTATGATTTCTCTTTGACATAGCACGGCTTGTTCTTGCTCTGCCATCGATTCCTAGTTTTTTTGTTGCCCGACTTGTTCTTATTTTCTTTATTTTTTGGTGTCTCACAACGATCTCGTTTGCCTGGATACTGTTGATAGCTGTGTTTACTAAATGTTGTTCTCCTTCGTTGACCTTTCCTTTCATATTTGTAGTCCGGAATAATTTATAAAGTTAAAGGAGATCAATGTTACCAAAACCAGTGTTCGGATAAACATAATTACTCCTGTTAATGCTGATAACTATAACAATATCTCAGAAGAAAACGTTGCATAATTAAGACGTAAAAGCGCTGTTTTGGACGGAGTTGCTGTGTAACTATAAATTACCTGCATCTATACGAATGATTACAATGGCGAAACAACAATATATATGACTTTTAAACGAATCAATCTGACTAAAATTAAGATCCCCTTATGTTTAATATGACGATCTGATCATCAGTTACTCTGTTTCCAATAAAGCTACATCAAGCCGACAAACTAGACAAAATGTTTTATTTAACCAACTATATAAGGTGTTTGCATTTCAGTTTCAGTTTCAGTTTATTTCTAGTAATATAGGCCTCAGGCCAAAATACAAAGTACAACAATACATCAAACAGTAGAGTGATAAATTGCAAATACATTTGTTACTAGATGTAATGAATTGAATTTGTAAATAATTATACAGTATTTATCTCTTCCTTTCTTACATTCATTGCATAATATATATATTTAGCAATAGATATTACTTCATTTATTATTGTTGATGACATGAGAGAATAAAATAAATGGTGGGAATGATGATGTAACCATGTATCTTTAAAATAGACAGCTCTGATATTGTTATATAGTGAACATTCAAAGGAAAAATGATATTCATCCTCAATAACATAAATATTTGTCTTTAGGCAATGAAAGCAATATCTTAAATCTCTATCTATTCCAATGTGTCTACCTTTCTCTATCATAAGATTATGACATGAACAAAGAAAATTAGAAAAAGCTCTTCTATACTTATATGCTAAATCTAAACTTAAATATCGTTCAACATTAAGTAAAGTCTTAAAGTACTTGTAATGTAATGCTTTAGGAGAAGAATCAACAACATTATGCCAGTTTTGTGAATAACAATCAAATAAGCGTTGCTTAAACATATTAATGAAATTTAAGTCATCACCGACATCATGAGAGATCCATACGTATCCAAAACCATATTGAAAAAGCATATCTTTAATGTTGCCAGCCCATGTTTTCCGTCCAGATTCGTGTAGTCGTTTTAACATCAAATAACAATGTTTTTGGTACCTATGATCTCCCATACGTGTCAGTTTTAACCAGTATTTAACACAATTTGTCATATAGATAGTACAGAGAGGCAATCTTCCACATTCACCAAGAGCAAAATAGCTTGTTGTATTTTGTGACAAGTTACAATATTGTTTACAGAATTTAACTTGTACAGATTCAATTTTATTAACATAATTATAACCCCAGATTTCTGACGCATAACACAATATAGGTTTTACCATTGAATCAAAAATTTTGAACATATCAATAGGATCAATGTGACCAAATTGTCTTTGAAAATTGAATATACAAGCAGAAGCTTTAAGTCCTTGTAGTGCAAGTATCTCTTGTGTTTTCGAACATACTAACTTTGGTGTGAAAAATACACCTAAATATTTGTAAAACTGAACAACTTCAATAGGTTCATTATTAAACAACCATTTTTCAGTTTGTTTCAAAACACCGCCATTTCTAAAAACAATGATTTTCGTTTTGCTTAAGTTTATCTTCATCTTAACAGATTTACAATAATCTTCAATATAATTTATTTGCTGCTGTAGATTTATAACGGTGTCAGAAAAGCTAGACACATCATCAGCAAACATAAGAGCAATTAACTCTTCAATGTCATTGGATACAAAAATACCTCTATTACATTTTTCATGCAAAAAAAAGTAACTAGATCATTTATGAAAAGTGAAAAAATTATCGGACTTCCAACACAGCCCTGCCTTGTTCCAGTATTACATGAGAAGAAGCTTGTTAGTTTGTCATCAACTTTAACACATGATTTAAGTTTTGCATACATAGATTTTATTATTATTAAAAATTTTCCATTGATCTTATTCTAGAAAAAGCGTCCCATAATTTTGATGCTGAATACTGTCAAAAGCTTTTGCAAAATCTATGTATATACAATAAAATCTACCCCGTTTCTTCGACAGGTACTTCTGGATCAAAGACATTAGAGTAAAAATATTATCAATTGTTGAATAGCCTTTCCTAAATCCAGCTTGAGACTCATCAATTACATTATAGTTATCACACCATTTAGTAAGACGAATAGTTAATATATTAACAGATATTTTACATAGGGAATCTAATAAAGAAATACCTCGATAATTATTTGGATCTGATTTAGAACCTTTCTTATGTATTGGAGTGATAATACTTTGACTCCATTCTTCTGGGAAGTTTCCGTTTTCAAAAATTTCATTAAAAAGAGCATTCAAAAATGGTAAAATTATATGAATAGAATGTTTGTACATTTCTAAGCAGACACCATCAGGTCCAGGCGACCGGTTAGCACGTAAATGGTCTATACTTTGCACTATTTCTAGATCAGATATAGGAACGTTAATTTCGTCACAATTTAAGTAATCACGATTCACATTGACCACGGGCTGCTCATCGATAGAACTATTTTCCCCAGTTACAGGATTCAAGAGTAATTTAAAATAATCATACCATTCATTACATGTTATTAAAGAAACTGCATTTTGTTTACTATTAACTTTTTTAAGAATATTCCAGAATTGTTTTGCATTTTTCCTGGAATCAACCAACCAGCTTCCGTTTAGCTTTGCAGTGAAAATACTGTTATATTTTTGCATAGTGCTTTAAAATTTGTTTTTGGACGTTTTATATTTTATTAAATCATCTCTTTCATTTGAAACCCGGAACTGTCTAAGAAAACGGGTTTTATCTCTTTTTAGAATTTGACATTGGTTATCCCACCATAATGGTTGAGATGATACGTTTTTGTGATGTTTACATTTCATATCATCTGCAGAAACTTTTAAGATATCTAAAAAGTCTGGAAGAAACGAGGACAAAGTTCTATTCTGTGAATTAATACGTATTTCATGAAATTGTTGAAACTTAGGCGTAAGATTATTTATAAAATTTTCTTTGAATTCTGGTTTCCACTTATACTTTAGCCATGGTGACATATTCTCACCAGTTTCAGAATTATACTGATTTTGACTACCTATAGAAGGGAATGAAAAATGGCAAATAATAGGAAAATGTACAGACTCGTCATTATTATCAACTTTAAAATATGATACATATTTAAACAAACTAGTAGTAGCTGCCATATAATCTACAACACTGGCTCCATTATTTGCTAAACAAGTAAAGTTACCAGGAATATCATCAAAAAATCTTCCATTAAAAACATGTATACCATAAGTACAACATAATTCAATAAGTGATAATCCAAAACGATTAAACTCTGTATCTTGAGATAATCTAGGCATATTAAAATCATTTTCTGGGTATGGTACATCATCACCAAATATAAACAATAGATTATCATCTAACACAAAAAGTCATTGAAGTTTTTTATACGTGAATTTAAATCTCCCGCCAAAAATAATTCTGCATCGGGATATTTACCTTTAATCTGACTAATACTTGTATTCAAAATTTCAATACCATTATTATCTTCAATCGAATAAATAGACGAGTATTCTGGAGATACATATGTAAATATAAGAATAACATCATTCACATAAATCATAGATTCAGCACTAATTAATAGCACTACACATTCAGTAATATTATCAAATATACGTTTTATAGACCCACGTTTGATCAAAACCAGTCTTTAACAAAAACCGTCACGCCTCCGGAACCACGTGCAGCTGTATTCTTCTTTCTTCTACAAAAGTTAAAGTTTGTATATCCAGGTAAAAAGTTTTCGAATTCATCATTTGAAACACCCCAAGTTTCACAGAAACTTAATATATCAAAGCGTGAACAGTATGACTGAAAGCTAATATCGTTATAATATTTTTTTAATCCTTCAATATTCCAGGAACACATCTTTAAATCAATATTAATAGAATAGTCATTTTCATTGTGGAAGTGATGCCCAAAGTTTGTTTCATGAAGAATATAATGAGAGTTTTGAAAAGACTGAAGACAGTTGTCATTGTTGGTACTTGGGACCTTGCCGATCTCCTATCTTGTAACCGGAACCGGACATTCTTTCTCATTGTCGTATGAATAAACACGATGATTTATGACGAGTTTGTCATATCGTAAAAAAATGCATTTTCACCCTTGCTAATAGCCCTCTTTTAGAAAAGGTATTAAAAGGCACGTATATTTTCTAACTCGTTTCGGGAAGTCCTCAGTGATCCTAACATTTGAACCGGAAGAAGAAACATCATTGTGCCGGCCTGACCATGGGCCACTAATGTTGTCGTCATGGTTACGCTGATTACGCGCTGCCTTGGTGATTTCGCGATACTTCTTCAGCACAGTTTCCTTGTCTTTGTAGAAGGAGAACTTAACAATAAGTGGGCGAGGCTTGTTTTACTGTATAAACGAATGTGCTCTTTCTATTCTTATATCAGATTCGTTCATACTAAGCTCATCACGAATATAGTCCCGTACTACCTGCTCGGATTGTTCCCATGTTTCTTTATGCGATTCTTTTATATCATAAAATATAAGGTTTTGGCGCCTTGACTGACTTTCAAGCTGTTCGTATTTTTCGTTTAGAGAATTATTTGAGATTTCTAGCTCGTTAATAAGAGTTGCTAATTTATCTACTTTGCCCGTCAGTTTTACATTTTGCTCACGTAGTTTAAAATTCTCTGATTTTAAGTCATTAATGGACTGCTCAAGTGTGTCAAATTTCCTGTCTAAACCGCGAACATGAGCTTGTATATCTAACAAACTAAACATGGGCATAGTGTCATTTACAGGTGTATTTCGCACAGGACTGTTGGTTGAATTACTTGTTGCTCCAGTTGAACGAGACGCTGCATCAGATATATTGATTGGACTAGCCTGAAACCACGTATTAAGAGTTGATTGAGAACTATTCAAACTAGTTGACTGTGTATTTGTGAATGAATCATTTTCACGTTCCTGTTGGCCTCTGGATTTTCTGCGATTCTCCACCTGATCTAGTTACAGCACTGCGTGCATTTGAAATACTACCCCTCCTCGTACCGGGACCGGGCGGGATTGCTCAATACCACCAATCAAAGTTAGCAGGAAAGGGCAATGCGAATGCTCAAGCAGGACATAGCCTTTATTTAAAGTTAAATGTGAGTTCTATTCCTGGTCTTACAAGGTTGACTAAATCTCTATCCTATACGCCCTCTCCATATATCAATTGTAACACCAAATCGGACGTGGATTTGTGTAGAAAAAGCGTCACGGTAGATGACCACTATGTAGTATTATATATACAAGGTTTATAACCGAGTCTTGCAATTTTATGTTATTTTGTTGTGATTAATGCTGTCCGAGGATCACTTTGTTTCCAGAATTTTTATCAATGTCAAGAAACAAATTCAAATCACATAATTCAAATAATGACTGTTGCACAGCTTGCATACACCGCACATATTTCTGTCTGTCAATTTTAGAAAGTATCTGTCGACGAAAAAGGCTTCGTTTTCAGTATTTTCTTTCACTTTTCTCCCGTGCAAAAAATAAACAACTCAATTCAAGGGAATTGTCTTTTTATTAAGAAGTTATTCATACTGTAGCAATTATTTAACAGCTGATGATATAAGTAAGAAGTGCATAAAGCGAGTGATTACATCACTTTATATTTGCATTTACACAGATATTTGACGTTGTGAATACAAACATGAATATAAATGTGAATACATACAATGCTAGAAGAACAATGATGATGCATTAACAAACGTACTAACAGAAGAATAGTTACAACGCACATGCATAATATATGGTTTGCTATTTTTAACTTATTTTTGAAATAATATCAGTATCAGCAATACAATACAACCTTTAAAATTTTGATTAAAGTTTACAAATTATTCTGATTACAATTCTTTTCAACTTCATGATTGATATTTATATGTGATGATAGTTACAATTATATAAACGTGTATATCTCTTAGATAAAGGTATGTTATAGGAAAATACGAAATCTCTAAAAGTATACATTAAAAATATCATGATCTGATATAAATTTCGTAAGAATTTGATCATACTTAAAGTCATTGATTAACAGAAATTTGTTGAAGAATTCCAAGATACTTGTCTTGCTGAAATTCAGAAAATTGCTCGTTAAGTAGTAAGTTTTGATCATATAATAGGGGCGAACGTGGCCTAGTTTTTAAGGTCGTTGACTTAAAATCACTTGCCCATCACCGCTGTGGGTTCGAATCCCACCAGGAAATATGGATTATTTCATGTGAGGAAGATATCCAGCTTGCTTACGGTCTACTCAGATGATATATATATTGTGACTACCTAAAGTGGGTAGAATTTTAAACATAACATATCTTCTTCTTTGTGTGAAGTCAAACATGTATTTTTTAATATTTATAAATATTTTATAATATCAAATTTGAGCGAAGTATATCTTTAAAGGCAAACAAATATATATACATATATACATATATAGTCGACAAAATCTAGAAATTGTGTTCGTTCTACTCTTGCGCAATGAACAAATGATTTTAAAGTTACGTGATAAGCCTATCATAGTTAAAGGCAACTGTTTAACATTCCTACTGAAAAAATAATGACAATATACAGTATTGCAGACAATTTTATTTCCATTGCCATTGTTTTGAATAGGCGAATGTAATTTACATAAATACATTGAAAAATGCATAAATGTTGTATATGTAATAATACAAATCTACATAGTAATATGACATATAAATATGACATATAATTTAAATATATTAAAGATATATGAACTTTGTAATATAAAGTTTGAAAATGCAAAACCTTGCTATCAGTGATTTACATGAAATATCCAAGACCCTTCTCGCTTAACGATTTTGCTCGAGACTCAAACGATATCTAGGTTAGCAATAAGTTGTGAGTATAGAACTTTATCATGTGTATCAACTTCAAGCTTTTTAATTGTTAAACAGTCAAGTTGTACTGTATTTGAACAGTTTGCTATGTAATATGAATGTTGGTAAAAATACTTTATTTGTTGATTAGAATTCCACTGAAGGAGTTCAACATCCAAGCATCTTTATATAAAGCATAACCAGGTGATCCATACATAAATTTAACCCATACCTTTTCTGACGATTTTACTCTTACTATTGCAGAAAAGGAGCTGCAACTATGGTAGTCTGCATTATAATTTGACGACCGAGCAATCACGTTTCCTGATAGCACCAAGGCAAGAGGTGAATGTTGCTTCTTTAATGAACAAAAGTTTACGATAAATAGGTACAATCCCCCTACAGGTGCCGTAAAGATCCCAGTGGAAGTGTCATATCCTGATCCTTCATTGGTCGTTGCTGTGGTAAATATGATGATTTTGTTTGTTCTGTCAAGCTTTAGATCTACCACATTGTGTGCAAAGAATGCAACGGACGGCGTCTTAATATTTTCTGTAAATTAAGAAGACAGAGAAAAGATTTGAGAAAATAAATTTATTTGGATAACGTTTATTATTCTATCATGAATGATACAATTTGCATTTACTTGCTTTTAAAGGGAATAAAATATGAATTTTGAATAAACATCAATAAAATACCCACACAAACGAATGTTTTGGATAGAACTTTAACAACCAAAAAGAAACTTATATTCTCCAAAAGCAAAAGAACAAATAAACACAGCTTAATTCTAATTCATATCTTGATATAATTTATAGGTTTTAATTGATGTATCTATGATTATTTATTTGAAAAAAATGTAATTTATTGTCGCATTCATCTTAATTATTAAGCTATGAATAGGAAAGTACTTGATTAATGTGCTGATATTCTTTTATCTTACCTGCAAGTTCTTTTAACATCTTCATTCCTTCCTCCATATCAGTTGTGAAATTATTCCGTTGTTCTTCGAATGTTGCTCTCAATATTTCTGTCAAGAATAAAAAAAATCTTGGTTCTTCATTCTTTAAATAGTATACTTCAAACTTAAAGCCAGATTTTGGACATTTCGGGCACAATATATATATACACCTCATAGAAAATTGGTGTGAGATGGATATTTGTGGATGTGGATGTGAATTGGATGTTTCTTTATTGTAAAGAACAATTCGTATCTGATTATCAATACCGTTAACCGCACAAAATCATATTCTGAATACCTAGTTTAATTAGGGAAGACATTATTTCATTAACATCAATTTCAAGAACCATCCAGTATAATGTATATATTACAGTATATGATCTTTCTTAAATGTTTTAAAATCAAACAATATTATCCATTTCATTAAAGTATATATTTAATTTAAACGAGTAAACAATGGGCGTTAATATAAAATTTAAATAAATGTGGGTCTCACTGACAGTTGTCGAAACACATTTTGAAAATAAACATTTTCAAAATAGTGAATGAAGTTATGCTGTAAAAGAAATTTGGAATTAATTCAATATAAAAATGTTAACACTATAACCTGTTTCAATAGATAATGTTGTAGTCATTAGCTTCATACATTATGCTTGTAGTTCAAGATCTAGAAATGCAAACACTAAATGTAAAGAATCGGTACATTCTCCAATTACGATCTTCATTTCAATTTTTGGCTGTCTGATCATATACAGAACATTAAGAATTGTACATGTATGAATTCACTCAAAATCCTATACCGCATCAGAAAATAAAATATAATATTTAACTTAAAACAAATATATTAATCAAATTACCGGTAATTCGGTCTAGAATAGCAATGTTTACTTGAAACGAGCTTGTCTATGATCTGTTTTATTCGTTAACAAACTATTAGAAAAACTGTTTTTAGAATAATTTAACAGCAAATATTGATGTTTTAAGGCTGTA